ATATGGTTGGAAAATAAAAATAAAATAAAATAAAATAAAATAAAAAACAAGGAGGGTCCATTCAGTGATGAAAGAGAACCACCACTCATATTTATGTCAATTTGCGCATTTATTGTGGGTGGAGTATTATTTGTTTTGGTGTCATTTCAATATCCATGAATAGTAGTATACTTGTTTGCAAATATAAGTCCTCCATTAGTAACTTATTTTTTTTACTACTTAATTTAATGATAGCTTCTTTATGGTCAATATTAATATAATTAATTAAATTATACATATTAGTATTATGATATGAAAATTACTTGATACGTGGATATGTGGACATTTATGGATTGACTCATATGATATGAAAAGAAATATATGTGGCTATACAAACTGACTAGTGCGGCTCTGCCGCCAATAGGTGATATTTAATGGTAGCAGACGGGTCAATTGTTGATCAAAATATTATGAACAATTATGTGAAATGGCCAAGTGCAGCCGCCAGCAACATATAATGCTATTGAACGGTCAAATAAATTGACCAGTGTAATAACCGGTGATGTGGAATGGTCATGTGGTAAGGCCATGTGCAACAAATAATACTATAAAAAGGATGTGAATGGCTATATATATATATATACATGGGTCGGCCAGTGCGGCTCTGCCGCCGGCGACAGGCAGTACTAATAAGTGATAGCCGATGAATGAAATAAATGATACTTTGTATCTGGCTATGTGAAAGTTGATTAAAGTCCTTATCGTGATCGGACATTTTATGGACTAAATTGATCTGAAAACAATGATAAAAATCTCTAAGTATTGGAGAAACGAAAAGTTGATGTAGTACCAGAAGTTACTACATAGTGGTTAAATGATATCTGGTATATTGGTACTGAAAGCTACCACATTATGATTAAACAAAATGATGAAATGGTACCAGAAGCTACCATTGGATGATTGAACAAAATGAGAAAGTGATGCCTAAAGTTTCCAGTTATCGATGATCACACAAAATGATTTTTCAATATATTATATGAGTCTAAGGAACTATATCAGATCACATTGATAATATGAGATAATATAGATATTACAATGATATGCTCCAGAAGAAGCACATGTGACATTAATCGTAGTCATGAAACACTACACACTTCTTGTGGAAAAGCGAAATTGATATTATTATTAATAAGAAACAAGTACAGAAAATTCATATGATGGAAATATGGAGAAGAGGCAGTACATACTCGATAAATACAAAATACACAAATATTACATAATAGTACCCATAAAAGAAGGGTGCGTCTCAAGGGTCTAATACCCCTTAACTCTGCCACCCATAACAGACATCAGAGTTTATAAAGATAAATCCGTTGGATCGAAAGTTCGCTTTCGCTTAACCCTATGAGTTTCCACATAATCTTGAGAAGTGATGTTTTCTTGAAGTTTCTTGATAAGTCCAGCAGCAGTATCTGCACATTTGAAGATATCTCTAGTAGAATCAGATATAAAAGTCTGAAATAAACTGTCATCAAGAAAACCAAGAAGGCCATTGAAGATATGATGGGAATTTAATAAACCAATGGGTTTATTATGCAGTTTCATGTCAGCCCAAGAAGCAATAGTAAACATGGTCATTAAAGTTTCATAACCACCAGGAAGTATGATGAAAGCATCACTATGGTTCACCATGAACATAGTGCAATTATAAATAGAGTTAGAAAGCATTAGACTGGTAGAATCTTTGAGAACTTTTGAAGGAGTTTTGTGGAATGGTAGAACACTTTTCACTTCAATATCAAAGCCTTTTCCAGCTAAGAGAAGGCTACCAAAGAAAGTGAGGCTAGTTCCTCCATAGAGTAAATTGATCTTTTGTTTTCCCAGTTCTTTTACTAGTTGGGATACAATATCAATATTTTGAGAAGAAGCTACAAGTTTAGAACCACCAAGAACACAAATGGTTTTTATAAATGGAAGAACTTTTATGACTTGAGAAGAAACAGGAGTCTCCATTTGGAGTAGAGAGATATTCAAATGGGGAAAAGATGAGTTATTTAAAGAAAGAGAATGAGTATTATAATATTTGATTTCGGCAGAAGCAACAGACAGGGGAGCAGTTAAGCATTTAATGAGTTATATTTATCAAAAGAAATAAATACCTTTTTTTATAAGGGAGTTATCAGAGATAGCTGTTGCAAACAGGATCCTTAGCAATAATGTTTTCGAGACTATAGCGGTTCTATTCATTCTTTAAACAGACCCATAAAGACATAAGCTCTTGATGCACATATCCACTTGGATGTGTATCGAGATTTTGTTGGAGGGTTTGATCCAGGGATTCCTTGTTCAAGCCATTCTTAATGAAAGCTATTTTATCTTCTCGATTTATGGACACAAACCCCAGCGATTTGCATCGGGTATCGCAATTCGATCGAGCACATTTATAGCAACCACCTATTCGTTTGGCTCTACGTTTCTTTGCAAGAGTACTTCTACCCATACCGGACAGATATTTATAAGAATTTGGAAATTCGCCAGAGAGTCGGACATTTGCTTCAATCAACCATCGAATATCGCCTGGAATATCATTAATCATTAGCACCCTCAATCTTTCTATTCGAGACCGATAAATTCTTTTTATGATATTTAATGGAACAAAAGAATAATATTTACAGATATTTGAGAGTGCCAAATCCATATGTAAATTCGGACCTTTGTTCGTAAAGATTAAATGGATTGCATGATAATTTATAGAAATGATGCGTATGCTATACGACTCTAAAAATGAAGAGTCTGTCTGACAGAAAGATTGATACGCATGTGATACAGTTCTGAATTTAAATATTGTGGATCAGAATCTGCACTTGAAGTGCATTTATTGCCGCCGAAAGATGATGTGATATGTTTGTGATAAATAGTTAACAAATAATCATTGTGATATTTACTGATATAAATGATGATGATTTGCATGAATAACTGATTCATTGTAATATGTGATACTTTGTTCTTGATAGGTAAAATTATTACTAGCTAAATATTTGTGAATCGATGTTTGATCAAACTGAGTATGAAAGGGGTACGATATATATGGGCCCACTACCCCTCCATGTGTGCTACTAGATATTATGGATCCACTAGATAGCCACATGTGTGTGATCAGTAACCTGAAATTACGAGATGATTTGATTATGTATATGACACGTAACCTGAAGTTACGAGATGGTTTGATCAAAGAATGACACAAGATGGCTGTGAAAGATTGATAATAAGTGTCATATGAAAGTGATGAAGCTAGTAATATAATCAGCTCATATGATGAACTCATGAAAGAAAAATGTGCACATTACAAGTGATATGAGTTCAAAGTCCTCCTATTATATATTGAAATCGAGAACGAAATGGAGATTATATGAACTCGCCTCAAGAACTTCAAAACTGAAAATACAAATCAATCTGTTAAGATGAGGGGGAGAATCAATTATTGAAATTTTGAAAATGATATATGCATCACACTGAAAGTGTGCAAATCATAAACTGAATGATACAAACAAATGAATGATACTGATGGTGGTTAAATATATGAAATAATATGATGGTGGAAAGATACGCTGGAAGTGTTGGTATTGTGCAAATTGAAATTCCCCAAATAAGTGATGAAAGGAGGCATATATATACTATCGATGAAATTAATTGATAATGAGATATCTCAATATATTACGGGGAAATAATGGAAATGAATATGTGTCGACACAAACAAATGAATAGCGCTATATAAATGATATTGATGAGAATGAAATCAACTGAAATGTGAATATTGGGAACTATTGGCAGTAAGACCATTGAAATCGATTGATGATAAGAATGAGTTTAAGAATGAAAGTTGCACAAAAGCATGATATGACATATTATCATAAATACCACCAGTATATGAAAATCTTAATGAATCTATATGATATTCATGAAAATTATGGCAAAGTTATTATGGTATATATATGGAATACGCATTGTACTCTTTTTCCCTTGGCTAAGGTTTTGTCCCATTGGGTTTTCCTAGCAAGGTTTTTAATGAGGCAACAGGGATGGCGTATTCACATGAATAGTGTACTCTTTTTCCTTCATTAGGATTTTGTCCCACTGGGTTTTTCCTAATAAGGTTTTAACGATGCATATTCATGGTATAATGAGGACTACTGAATAATTGATATGATTCCTCATGATGATGAGAAAAGACTGGAGTGGCTGTACTCTTTTTCCTTCGGTCAAGTTTTTGTCCCACTGGGTTTTCTTGACAAGGTTTTAACGAGACAGCACGTAGATACTCCATTAAAGATGATTCATTTGAGGGGGAGCAATGATGTGCTACCACAATGCTCAGGTTTTGTCCCACAGGGTTTTCCTGAGGAAGCAATGTTGTGATTTCAAGATGATCAGGTTTTGTCCCACCGGGTTTTCCTGATATACTGAAGCTCCAGTACCGATGGCTACAAGATATACTTCAAGATATTCAGATTGGGCGTTATTCAAATCAGTTAAAATATGTTTAGAAATAGTCATTCAAGGGGGAGTGTTATGAATTAT